ATGTGAAGAGCTAGTATGCCAAAGACTGTTCAGCTGCAGACCTTCTCTCTGAAATGCTAGCCTCCTACATATAGGGAGCTTTTGCCATAGGGAATGTTCAAATGTCCAATATCCCACCTGTAGTCTGGAATAGCCAGACCTCACCATGCTATCTCTGCATGTTGGAACAAGGACAGGATTAATATTTTGGACTCTGTTATGTTGTGTGGCATTTTTATTTTTCTGTTCGAGGTAACCATTATGTGCCAGTTGCACTTAAAGCCTTCAGAGCTAAAATTGGAGCTCAATTATTATATGGGGTACCTCTCTGGATTGACGCAATGGACATTTCAGTTGAACGTGTCCACCAGGGGTCATTTCCTGCAGGAGCACACAGGAGCGGAGCTCCGGCAGTAAAGAGCCCGGGGGGCGGGCACATGCAACAAGCCCCACCCCCTACTCCCAGCAGCCCTCAGTCAGAGCAAGAAGCAGCCAGGTAAGTTGCAGAGGCCCCCCTGGCCCCCCGGTCCAAAACAGTCCAGTGGCACCTTTAAGACCAAGTTTTATTCAGGTACAAGCTCTCCCCCCTCTGCGAGAACAGATCTGCACGTCCCCCCCCCCCAAATAGCTAGCAATCCAAAAGAGTCCAGTGGAGCCTGAACGGTGGGTGTTGCCTTCTGACACACTTCCGGTGATGTCAAGGGGTGTGGCATACGCAAATAAGTTATGCTGATTAGTTATGCTAATGAGCTCCTGCACCTCTTTTTCTACGAAATGACCCCTGGTGTCCACTCTACCTTTCTGCGAAAGATCATGGAGGTACCTATGTGTGTTCCATATGCCACTTTATGTTTGGAGTGTGGTCAGAATTTGTTGGCTACGTGCGCCTTGGTGTTTAGTTGTGCCGGCCACATGACCATGGAAACGTCTTCGGACAGCGCTGGCTCTTCGGCTTTGAAACAGAGATGAGTACTGCAACCCTAGAGTCGGATTCGACTGGCTTTCGAGCAAGGGAACCTTTACCTTTACCTTTAAGGCATGGATCCACACTATTAAATTTTGGTTATGACTCCATTTCAACTCTAACCCTTTTAGTTATACATACCAACTACTTTCTGAATCTGTTAATTCCAGCTGGCTTTCTTACATCGAAGCCAAAATAAGTTCCCTGAATTTATCTCTAGAATCTTTATTTATGCTTTCTGAGTCTGAGGCGTTTTTAAAAATAAAATCTAGTTTATTGGGATCAGAGCTACAAACTCTTTATAGCCTAGCTAACAGAACCTGTTCTCCGTTAAATGTAGGGATTGTTCCAAATGCAAATCTTCCAGTTGTATACCTCTATCAACTCATAGCTCCAAATTTGCATAGAGCCATATCCTTGGCTAGATGTAATGTTCTTCCTTCAGCTATCTTATCTGGCAGATTCCAAGGGATTCCCTATCCTAGCAGGTTCTGTCCTTGTATGAACAACTGTGTTGAAACTGTCGCCCATGTTCTCCTCCAGTGCCCTCTCTATCTGGCGTCCCGTCGGGATCTTCTATATCCCATATTAGCCCAACTTTTAGAGACCTCTGATGATTTTAAGGTCCTTTTCCTGCTTGATAATCCAGATACAGAAATAACTGAAATAGTAGCAAAGTTTCTTTGCAATGCCATGGTTACACGTCCTGATAAGTAATATTATGAATTAGATCTCATTATTCTGTTACTCTGTTTTTTATTCTGCAATTCTAATTTTACTCTGCCCGGATTTTGTATTCAGATTACTGTATCTACATGTATATGCCAATAAGGCTCGTCTGACTGATTAATATTTTGGACTCTGTTACGTTGTGTGGCACAGTGGACAGACCATGTGGCTAGGATCTGGGAAACCAGGTCTGAATCCATATTCCAGCTTGGAAGGTTGCTGGCTGATGTTGGGCCGGTCATTCTCTTTCCGCTTAACCTACTTTACAGGGTTTTTGTTAGGATAAACTGGAGGAGAGAACAGTGTTGTCAGCCACTTTGGGTCCCTTTTAGGGAGAAAAGGGGGGGAATAAATATCTAAACAAATAAATAAAATGTTAGGGGGATTAAGTGGTTCCCATGCATTGTACCAGATTTGTGTACAGATGAAACTGAACGTTCTTTCAGGCTGTGGGAAAGTATTTACTCATTCATTCAGAGACACAGCCCCACACCATTACAAGACTGCTGACTGGATACAAAATAGTGTGGGGTGGAGAGATGAACTGATTGTAAAATGCAAAATCTTAAAATAAGTCTTTGTCAGAATAATCCTGGACTCCAACAAAAAACCAAACTGAAACATTTTCACATAACTTCTGCAGATTTCTAGACCTGAATGATGGTGAACTCCCATGCAAGCATTGTATAGCAGCCACTAGGGAATACCTTTTTTCCATACTTGTGGTTGGATCCCCTGAAAACAAACAAACCTCTGCCCATCTTCTGCAAGGTTTGTCTTCATAGGCTTAGCTCCAGATTGCTCCTAATTTCAATTAGTGTTATACAAATCCACTCAACATTTTCACAATATAAAGTAGCATAAGAACCCTACTGGATCAGATCAGTGGTCCATCTAGTCCCATATCCTAATTCACATAGAGGCCAACCAGTTGCCCTAGAAGGCCAACAAGACATAGAGACTAAGGCCTTCTTCTGATGTTGCCTCATAACACTGGGGTTCAGAGGTTTACTGCCTATGAACGGTTCCTTCTAGTCACCATGGCTCGTTGCCACTGATGGACTTATCCTCCATGAATCTGTCTAGTCCTCTTTTAGAGCCATCTATGCTCATGGGTGGTGTGGTGGCTCAAGTGGTTAAGACGCTGAACTGCAGGCTGTGGAAGGTCAGTAGTTCAGCAGTTCGAGACCCGAGTGTGCCGCATGACGGAGTGAGCTCCCGTCTCTAGTTCCAGCTCCTGCCAACCTAGCAGTTTGAAAGCAAGAAATTGCAAGTAGATAAATAGGTACCACTTCGGTGGGAAGGTAACAGCGTTCCGTGCACCTTGGTGTTTAGTCATGCTGGCCACATGACCACGGAAACGTCTTCGGACAGCGCTGGTTCTTCGGCTTGGAAACGGAGATGAGCACCGCAACCCTAGAGTCGGAATCGACTGGCTTTCGAGCAAGGGAACCTTTACCTTTACCTTTATGCTCATGGGAGGACTGCCAGACATGGCCTGGGAACCGGCAAGAGACCAGGTGAGGGCAGGGACGTGGGGGGGGGGAAGCCATCTGTGGTGGCATGATGTCAGTTCCAGGTAGGGCTGCCAGAACCCCCTGGTGGAGGCGGGGGTCCCCTGCCACCAGGCCCTCCCCCCAGCCACAGATGAGCTGGCCGGTCGGGGGACTTACAGTAGAAAGGGGAAGGTCCAAGGCCAGGTCATGTTGCCAGCATCATACAGGAAGAGATGTTATCACACAAGTGACTTCCTGGTGATGCTCTGGTATTTGAGCAAAAACAAGAAGAAGAAGAAGAAAGAAGAAGAAAGAAGAAAGAAGAAGAAGAAGAAGAAAAGGAGGAGGAGGAGGAGGAGGAGGAGGAGGAGATTGGATTTATATCCCATCCTTCACTTGGAGTCTCAGAGCGGCTTACAGACTCCTTTCCCTTCCCCTCCTCATAACAGACACGCTATGAGGTGGGTGGGGCTGAGAGAACTCTGACACAAAATGCTCTTTCCGGAACAGCTGTGCTAGAGCTTGTGACTGACCCAAGGTCACATCAGCACGTGCAAGTGGAGGAGTGGGGAATCAAACCCGGTTCTCACAGATCAGAGTCCGCACACTTAACCACTACACCAAACTGGCTAGAGAAGTATGGTGTTATATTTGGGTTTTTCATGCTTAGAGCAGCAGCAGAAAACATGAGTTTGGAGTAGGGGATCCCCCGCCTGCACTAGAGGGCTGGCAATCCTAGCTCATGGCCATCACTATATCCCCTGGAAGAGAATTCCACAATTTAATTGCTAGTTGAGTAAAGAAGTACTTCCTTTTGTTCCTCCTGAATCTGTTACCCATCAATTTCATTGGATGCTAGGGGTGCCAGTCCTTACCTTGACAGGCAATCCCTAGGATCATGAGAGAGGAGACTTCTTGGAAGTCACTTCCTGTTTTGATACTGGAAGTGACATCATGACATGCTAGGAATTATAAAACTAGAGATTTTTTATCATAGAGATTTTTTAATGTTTTTACCATAAAGATTTTACCACAGAGATTTTTTTCAATTTTCTAGAGCATCATGACATCACTTCCTGTTCTGAAACCTGAAATGGCTTCCATGTGCTGCTTCCCCCATTCTCTCCCACTGCTCCATTGAGCATGTAAGTGGCAATCTTATATCCTTGAGTTCTAGTATTATGGAAGAGGAATAAGTAGGTTTTTTGTCCATTTTCTCTACCCCACACATAATTCTATAAACCTCTCCTGGGTGGCCAGCCCAGTGCTGCAACTTGCGTAAGAGTGGGGAACAGAGACCTGTTGAATTGCATTGTGTGGCACTGCAATGTAATTAAAGCCCCATAACCAGAAGTGACAGCACCATAAACATCACAGTGATTGGGGAAATTCCTGGAGTGTTGTGCATGTTTCTAGCCAGAAATGAACCCCGCCAATTCGTCCCCCCTCTGTTCCATTGAGCACCAGCAGGGAGCAGCAGAAGATATTTCACTCCTAGCAGGCATCTGATAACCCTAACCTCTACCACACACACATACCCCTTAGTGGTCTTTTTTCTATCCTTTCCTCTTGGGAAAAGTGCTCCAACCCCTCAACCGGGTCAAAGTCTCTGACATATCTGATCTAAGGCCTGGCTTTTTTCTAACTTGTGAATGAGAGCCCTCAACGACAACCAAAAAGTCAAAACCTTTATACAAGGACATTGCCTGTTTCCCCCACCCACATGGTGGCCTGAACAGCATTCTTCCTGATTCAGGAATGTCGCCAGTGAAAGTTCATGATCAAATATGATCTTGAGTTGGCTCAGAGAAGTAGAAAAAGGAGATGTAACTCTACTTCATCAGCATTGATCTCAGCTCATCCTCGGTCCATGTTTTGCCATCAAGCAAGGATGCCTTCAGCTGCCTCAAGAAAACATGCCGGTTGACTTCCCTGTCCTTCCATACCAAGTAGGTATTCCTCCGCAAGTAGCGGAACAACCCCAGCTTCGATCGCAGAACTGCTTTGTCCACACCATCCAGGACAACGAAGATGAGGCTGGCCTTGCTATCCAGTAGCTGCCAAGACTGAGCAACTTCAAGTTCAAAGTTACACCAACGACTCTCCATGAAGTGGGTGGAGACCACAGCAATGACTTTCCGGCTGCTATGGAAGCCTTCTTTGATAATGTTGGTGATGACAGGCACACCGGGCCTGAAGTCTCGATAGTGGAGGCAGAGGCGGAAATGTGGCACTCCCGATTCAAGTGTTCCCTCTAGCTCTTGCCTCACCCACACTTGGTCCTTGCTGGAGTAGATAACAAAGGCATCGTAGATTTTGTTATGATCAGTAGAGGAATGGCCTCCACTGAGCAACACCATCATATAATACAAGTGGAAGTAGAACTTATAAACCAGAATCAATGACAAGACCACAACCACAGAAATGCTCACTAAAACTGCCACTGTGGTTGTACTGACCTGGCAATAAGATATGTCAAAATGCATCAACTGTGTATCTTCTAAATATGAGGGGCTGTGACACTTCATCATATCTGCACGCATAAGGACATCCTCATGTTCCTTAACCCACTGCAGGAAGTCCAAGCAACCACAAGAACAGTCAAAAAGGTTGTGAGAAAGGTCCAGTTTCTTCAAGCCGCTCGGCAAGTTCTCCAGATGCTTCTTGGTCAAGGTGATCAACTGGTTACAATGGACATCCAGGATGGTGAGGGCCCTTAGGTGTATGAAGGACTCTGGATGGATATCCAGGAGCTTGTTGTTGCTGATGTCCAGTTCATGGAGGTCATGGAGGAGGTCAAAGCCACTGAAAGAGACATGCTGCAGTTTGCAGTTGGAAATATCCAGGCTCTTCAGTTTAGTGACATTTGTGAAGGTATTAACCACCTGGTTGTTCTTAAAAGAGTTGCCAGCCATTTTCAGTACTTCCAGGCTGTCCAAGCCACAAAATGAACATTCTGTGTGAATTGAAATGCCGGTGTAGGAGATATCAAGGTAGATTAGATTCTTAAGGCACATAAAAGCAGGGACTAGTCCTGGACCTCTTAGTTTAGAGTGCTGTAAATCCAAAGATTCCAATTTGGTTGGGCCAATGAACTCTGCTTGCACTATGACTAATGGGTTGAAGCTAAGGTTCAAAACCCTCAGTTCGGAAAACCGTTCCCTGAAACAAGACCAGCAAAGATGCATATTAATGTTGTTATTGCTGAGATCGAGGATCTTAAGTTTCTGAAAAGTCAATCTTCTTTTCACATCAAAATCAGTGAGGCTATTGGTATTGGTGATGCGGAGCACTCTTAGCTCTTTCAAGGAAGCTAGCTTCTCAACAGGCACACGTTCAAACCTAGTGTCCTTGCATTCAAGATGGTGTATGCTGGTATTTTCTGGGAAGTCTACAGTTTCCAGGTAGCTGTTCACAAACCGAACAGTGGAGATGTTGTTCACACAGGCAGAAAGACTATCTGTTCTGGAGAAAGCATCTCCAGTGCAGATGAGAGTTATTTTCTGAATGTCCATATGACAGAGACCATCCAAGAGATTCTTGTTAAAGGATTCTTCTTTCTTAAGGTTTCTGTATCCTCCTAACACTAAACTGTTAACACGTAAGCCAGTCATATTAAGGAGACCAACCTGCATGATGTAGCTGTCCTCAAAACTGGATCTCAGAGACAGTTCCTGCAGGTAAATTCCTTTAAAAGACCTTGGCTGGATATATTTTATGTTGTTGTTAGACAGCACAAGTGTGAGGCTGAGGGCTGACAAGACATCCAGGTCTTCCCTAGAGATTGAGGAGATCTTATTTGATTGAAGATTCAAACGTTCAAGATGTGTAAGTTGGGAGAAATATTGGGGGAGTTTTAAGGAATGTATGTAGTTATTGCCCAAATTTAGCTCTTGAAGAGCCGTTAAATGTCCAATGGGCAGGTGGTCCAGCGAGAATAGGTTGGTGTCTACAAGCACCAGTCTGTGCAGAGAAGGCAAGTCCTGAAATGCTCTTGGGCCCAAGAACTGGAGAGGGTTGCCAGTCAGAAGCAAGACGGAAAGGTTATGGAGTCCAGCAAAGGAATCGTCTTCAATTTTTGTGATGTGGCATCTATTATAAAAGAAACAACGAGGGGGAAAGACCATGGATGGTTTTGCCTGTTTGATTCAGCCAGTAATCTATTTGACATTGCTAATGGTAAGTGACACAATTCATACATATGTACATGCACATCAAGATTGTTCAGGGGATTTTGCAGGGGATTCTCAATATGCCGAAAAAAGAGGAAGATACAAATGAATGGACAGGACCAAAAGCTGAGGCCAAGTGCCCAGCAGGCAGTTTGGGGACCTGTTTTTAAAATTCATAACAAAAACTGGATTGCTACCTTGCCCAGTTTCAATGTCATGAACCTTCAACCCTCTGCACCCAGCATAAGTGGAGAAGGGAAGCAGTGTGTAGGCTCCAGGACTTTCTGCCTTATTCTCATAATGAACAACACACCAAGGCTTCATGGTGATGTATGAACAGCAGTTTTCTGATACCTTTCCTTGATAAAGCAATATCCTTGATTATTATTTTTTCTTACTGAGGAGCTGTATTTATTCCTTTATATCCCACCTTTCTCCCAACTGGGGAACCCAAAAGTGGCTTACGTCATTCTCATCTCCTCCATTTTATCCTCCCAACAACCCTGCAAGGATGGTCACGCTTTCAAACCCAGCAAGCTTTCATCATTTCATGGCAAAGGAGGGATTTTAACTATAGTCTCCCAGATTTTAACTATACAAAGCAGGGTTTTTAACTATAGTCTCCCAGACTATAGTCCAGCACTCTAACCACTATGCCACACAGACTTTCAGTTTGTGTGCACACTCGCATTCATGAGAGGTCTTCCCATTTCAGCCCTTCCCAAATCTGTAGGAACTGAGTGAAGACATAAGCCTGGAACCCAACTGTCAACTCATAACATCCTTTCCATCACCTCAGTTATCTGCCTGTTGAGATGGACAGAAATCAGAATCACTTCTTCAGAAGTTAGTGCGGGACTGGCTGTTAAAGAATGAACGAGCTGCTGGCAGGGGAAGTGTGTACCTCAGGCTCTAACTACACACTATCCTTTCTCTGTGTCTGTCCGCAGGTCTGATTGGTAGCCAAGGTCTGAGACTTCTGTGCTTGGAGGTATACATGGCCTAATTTGTATTTAGACCACAGCCAATAAGGAGAAGAGATGTAAGCCGCTTCCCCATCATTGTCTTGCGACTGGACCCAAGGACGGACACAGGAAAATTATAACATGTAGTTCAGCCCTCAGGTAGTGAACTTTGGTGTGAAAATAGAGCCTTCCAAAGATGCCCTTGTTTCCCTGTGTGAACTGTTGTGGGGTAAGCATTCGGCAGATTGATATCAGGAACTTTGAACAAAACCCAACGTCTATGACCAAAGAAAGGGAGCAAAGGCCTTGGAAACAGCAGGTGATAGTCCAGAACAAGGTGGAAGGCAACACAACGTAGGTTTAGTTAAGCAGGTGTACAGATTATGTCTTGCAGTGAGATGGTGGGTCTGAATTTCATCCATATATAAACAGCCTTTTGTTCTTGCTGGGTTGTAGGCGAACATGGAGCAAGATCAGGGACTGGGAGTAAGAGAAGCCAAGAATCATGAATCAGAAGGCAGAATCACTAAGCTAGAAGACAAGAAGGTCAATAATGCAGATACTATTGTTGCTCAAGAGAAGTCCCGACCTAACCTGAGCTCAGGGGAAATAATTGACGGGAATAATGGAACACCTCTGGAGCCAGTTTGGTGTAGTGGTTAAGTGCACAGACTCTAATCTGGGAGAACTAGGTTTGATTCCCCACTCTTCCACTTGCACCTGCTGGGTGACCTTGGGCAAATCATAGTTCTGGCACAGCTGTTCTTGAAAAAGAGCAGTTTCTGTCAGAGCTCTCTCAGCCCCACCTACCTCACAAAGTGTCTGTTGTGGGGAGGGGAAGGGAAAGGACTTTGTAAGCCACTTTGAGACTCCCTTGGGTAGTGAAGGGCGGGGTATAAATCCAATCTCTTCTTCTTCTTCTTTGGTGCCAGTCAAATACTCCAAACTGTAACCTGGGCACTTTGCCACATTGGGCAGCAGCCGGTGGACCTGTGAGGTGTCATGGCGAACTAGGAAACTCTCTTCCTGCTCACCCAAAGTCTTGGGGAGAGCCCATTAAAAACGGACAAAAGAAGGGTTCTTTGGCTGAACGAAGCCTAGCTCATGGGTTGTAGTTAGATCCTTTATTATTTGCTCTGAGTGCAATATTACTGTTATTTTCTTTTCTACATATATTGTGGATGTGTTGTTCATCAGCCTGCCATCATGATTTGGGATGTTTCCAGCTGGACTAGAGACATCCAGGCATCAAGAGTGCTTTTACCTGGTAAGATCCAGAAACCTCAGTGCAGGAACGGATGAGAAATAATTTGAGTTCAGGACTTCCAGTGGGTTGAAACTCAGATCTAGGTTCTGGGTAGAGTTTGGGATGTTAGGTGGAATTCCTTTGAGGTTCAACTCCATGCATATGTAAGCGATGCCTGGAGTCACCTGCAAAGATGACAAAGGATTTGTATCCATCAGGGTTTATATAAAGAAAGTTATAGCTGTTGTCATTCAAAATCCAGGGGAAAAAATACCGCAAGTTGTCCTTTCACATCTTTGAGCTTCTACCGTATGTTTAAAATTCACTATCCTCTCTGGAAAAAGACACTTTCATTATAGTGCTTCCATGATGATCCCAAAGAGAAAGCGCTTACAAATATCTATATATCTAATAGCCAAGTTGCCCCCTCCGGGCGGATATCTATCTTCGGGGGCACTTGGGGGGCAGGGAGAGGTTTGTGCACTCTTGGGGCAGTCCCCAGGGGCGCACAAAAATCTGAAAACTAAAAAAAAATATCGGGGGGATGTTTAAATCCCCCCGAAAGTGCCAGAGCGTTCGTACGCATGCGCACGAACCCTCTGTAGCCGACCTTGCTGCTGCCGCCGCCCTGAGGCGGCCGGGTGGGCAGGCAGGCGGCCGGGGGAACAGCGAGGCCAGGGCAGCGAGGCCCGAGGCAGCCTTGATTCGGAGCCGAACGGGGGGGAGGAAACAGCCGCTCTGAGAGACACCCCCGCCGCCTCCCCTCGCCCGTTCCCGGGCCCCGCGGCGCTCTCCCGCTCTGGGTTGAGGAAGGGGGAAACAGCGAGGGCCGAGCTTCAGTGCCAGGTTGGGGGGGGTGGGGAACAGTGAGGGCTGAGCGGCAAGGCGGCCGCCCAGTCTCACATCGGAGCGGGGGGGGGGCTGCCCGCCCTGA